CCCTAAGTGCTATCAGTTCCTCTTTTAGAATATTATTAGAATGTTTTAGAATATTATTAGAATATTATTTTCTGACTTTCGTTCAGTCTGATAAGGTGTGATTGACAACACACAGTCTGAAGTAATGTGTGTCTCAAACAGCTTCTATGTATATATGAATACACTTTCTCCAACTAAGCTTAAACTCCCTTAGGTTGGGCGCAGTGGCTCATGCCTGTAATCCTATAGCACTTTCGGAGGCTGAGGCAGAGGATCGCTTGAGGCCATGAATTTGAGACTGTCTTCGCTAATAATAGAAAAATTAGCCAGGCATAGTGGCATGCGCCTGTAGTCCCAGCTGCTGGGGAGGCTGAGGCAGGAGGCTCACCTGGGCCTAGGAGTTTGAAGTTGTAATGAGCTATGATGACACCACTGCACTCTAGCCTGGGCAACAAAGCAAGACTCTTGCCTCAAAAATAAATAAACTTCCTAAGAGTAACGGTCATGTCTTACAAATGTTCGTCTCCTTGAGGCCTGTCTCATAAGTGCCCAGGGTCAATGATGTCATTTGTAACTTCTCCAGCTGATAATCTAGAAAAAGGTGAGCCATGAGTTCATTTTTATTTGCATCATATGAATTTAGATACTAGTTTTGAACAAGTTTGAAATTAATTTTAGGATACTTTCCTTCCAAAACTGGGGGAACATATCATTTAGCGGTTTGTGTACTGCCAGGCCTGCTGTAAATGGAGCCTGAGCAAAAGTGCAGTAAATAGGACTCCGCTGGGCAGGTGCCAGGGTGCACAGCCAGGCTTGGAGGACCACACAGGGGAAGAAGCGTAAATAAGGGCGTCCACAGCCTGGTGAGTGGCATGCTTATCCACGACTGTCCTGGCACTCAGTAAACATCAGTAAATCTAATGTTTATTAAGTAGCAATGGGCAATGGTAATAGCTTGGGAATTCCCAGTTCTTGGGACTTTAATGTTTATGCATGTAGCAAAGAAAAAAATGAGGTTCGATCAGTGTAAATGTTTTGTAATTTATCTCTCTTTTCAAACAGAGTCTTTGTGAAAGTGGCAAAAGGTACATCCCGCCTCACATGGGGCAAGATCGGGGGACAGTGGGCACCCAGAAGACGGAAGAACTGGAAAGGCTGAAGAAACATGTGAAAGGGCTGATTAACAGGTAACCTTGCAAAATTGTCACATTGTATCACTTGAAGAGGTTGTCTGTTTTCTAAAAATATCCTGGAACTATCCCAGGAATTAAAATAGAAGTGATTGGAGCAGGGGCTGTCCTGTTGATTGGGTCCTTTCTGGCCCTGTTCTGATGCACCCAGACCCAGACCTTGAAAAGGGGAGGACGCCCAGCTGTCTGAGTCTTTGAACCCTCCAGGTTTTGAAAGCAGCCAGGTGCTCTGGTTGTTCTGAGCTGCTTGGAAACGGTAGCAGAGGACTCATCAGTTAGCCCTGCCCCTCAGCGCTCTGGTTTCGAAGCATTGAGAGCCCTTGAAAGGGGTCCTCTTTAGATGCTTCTGACACCTTATCTAATTTTGCTAGGTTTCGAGTATGTATTGCTTTTTTGTTGTTTACCTTTTTATTTAGAGACTATCAGATTCACAGGGAGTTGCCAAGACCGTATAGGGAGGCCCAGCACACCCTTTGTCAGGTTTTCCCTAAAGGTAACCTCTTGCGTGGCCGGGGCACAGTTTAAAAAACAGCAAGGAACTGACGTCGGTGCAACCCATAGAGCTCGTTCGCGTCTCACCGTTTTTACACGCGCTTGCGTGCATGTGAGTGTGGTTCTGCCCACTTTTACCACATGAAGATCCGTGTCCCTCACCACAGGCTTTCACACTGCGCCTCCCTGGTCTCACCCATCTGCCCCCTTGAATTGCTTTTGATTTATTTCTTTTTAATTAAAACCCAAACACCTTTTCTAGAGAGTATCCTGGAATTTTACCAAAACCTGATGTTTAATGTTGGGTCCAGTATTGGCACAGGTGCGCAATGAATAATCTTCCGTGTATGTATATAGTCTTCCCTTCCCCCCACCCCCGAATGGCAAACTTTTCTCAGTGTTCGGAAAATAATTCTGAATTTGAAACATCATTGCTCTCTGCAGGCTGAGTGAGCCAAACATGGCGTCCATCAGTGGACAGCTGGAAGAGCTGTACATGGCCCACAGCAGGAAGGACATGAATGACACCCTGACGGCCGCCCTTTTGGATGCCTGCGTCACTGCCTCGGCCATGCCCAGCCGCCTGATGATGGAGCACGTTCTCTTAGTCAGCATCCTTCACCACACAGTTGGCATTGAGGTATGGTTGTACCTCTTCTCCACAACGTTAATGGTGTTTAAATGGTGATTATTTTAATGATAGGCTTGATAAATGCTTAATTTTGTAGGGGTAGGTTGTTTTCTTGCGTTAATTCCTGCTTTAACACTGACTTTCCAGATGTTGGAAAGATAACGGTTGGTGTGGTTTTACTACTGAGGTGTTTGTTGGCGGGAGATGTGTGGGAGCGCCGGGGCGTGGAGCTGCCTGGCCACGGCTAGCGAGGCCGTTTCTGCGTCCCTCTCGTCCGCAGTGGGCTCCAGCAGCCTTCCTGTGGGCCCCGTGTCGGGATTCAGCTGGACAGTGTGCGCACAGCATGTAGCACACCGCTGGCGCCTAACAGGTGCCGAGTCTGCGTTTGCCCGGCTCCTTGCCCCTTTGTGCCCTTCCTCCCGGCTCAGTGGCCTCTGGGGGTGAAGTCAGGGGGGCTCCATGGCAGTAACCCTGGTTCCACATCCACTGCCCTCTTCCGGCCGTTCTCTCCTCATCTCATAGAGTAAAGTCAAACCCTTCCTGTGAGTCTTCCAGTTGCCTCGGCGTAGCTGGTTTCAGGTATGTTGAAGGAAATCAATCTGATTAAAGGAGTTTATACTGAGGCAGGTGAACGAGCTGACGATTAAATGAACGAGGCTTACTCTTCCTGGAGAATACAGTGTTCACATTCACAAGACTTTGGTATCCCGTTTGGATCTTTACGTGATGCGGTCTCTTTTAATGGTGGTTTTCTTAGTTTTTTTGCCTTCTGATAGCCCTACTCCCCAAAATAGGCCGTGGCAGCAAAGCATCCCCCAAAGTCTGATTGCCTGGTGTCTGTTCACACCCTTGGCAGCAGCCTGGTGAGGTGACATTTACCGAAGCCCACTTTGCAAGTGCAGCAGACAAAGCCACTGAAGAATCGTGACATTCCAAGATCTCAAGGCTTGTTAAGAGTACACAGAGCTTGTTTTCTGCGTTCCTAAGCCGGCGTGCTCCCTACTGCAATGCTAGTCACAGTCTTTTCATTTTTATATTATTTTCTCTCAATTATAGTCTTAAAAATTATTTGAAGTCTTATAGAGTGGGACAGTGCAGGCCTTACTTTAAAATGCACAAACTTGCCTTCCTGTGATGAGGGGTTGGTGGTGAAGGTGGCGTGGTGGTGGAGACACCGCCCGGTTCGGAACACGCTCTGCCACCCACCGGCTGGTTACCTAGGTGATCTCGTTCCTTCGTGTCCCCTCCTCTGTGGAGTTGTGACAGTTAGGAAGTCAGTACAGGTAGCAGGCGTGGAAGAGGTTGGCCCGTAGTCAGTGCTCCTTAGAGGTTAGTTACTGACTCGTTTGTGACACGGAAGGAGATTTCCATGCTGAAATTCTGCCCTTCCTCCCACTTCTCCCAGCCGGCTTTCCTACCGCCTCAGGTCTCCGTGCTATTCCTAGATAATCTTTGGAACCACGTTTTCCCTTACCTGGCAGTGGGCACATCGTGGCAGTTGTTTGAAAGATGGTGACTTTAAGGCCTACAGGGCATTGGGAAGCCGAGCACAGGGGAGCCTGGCACAGACCTGTGTTGTTGGCACGGGACTCTCTTGTCAGCTACACACGTCACCTCCGTTGTGAAAATCTGCAGCAGCTACTTGGGAATTGCTCTTTTGAAGTAGTTTTCTTTTATTTCTGAGAGGTATACTCATTTTCACATGAATGTGAGTCCATTTTCTTGTCATTACAAAGTGTAATGGAATCTCTGGACGCTGTCCCCGGGGCCCTGTGATTACCGTAATTTAGGGCCATTCTGGGCTCTCTCAGTACGTCCCCCATCCTGCTGGGTCACGCTGGTGAGCTTCAGCACACTTAGTCACCAGAATGGTTTTGGCGCAGGCAGGGGGAGTCGCGGTGCAAGCCGCAGCCGCAGCCGCAGCCCCAGCCACGCAGCGCCAGGAATTCGCTCGATTATTGTCCTGCTTCTCATTTAACCTTTGCTAATAGCATGAAGGACGATGAAATGACCTGTTCCAAGGGGAAGTCGTTATCGTACTTCAGCTAATGACTCCACTAAAACTTCTGCCAGAGTGTGAAGAACTCTCAGGATGTTGATCCCGTTAAATTTCTTTTAGTGCTATACTGAGAAAAACAGCCTTGCGGGAATTCATGGAAGGAAAAAAATGTGCTAAAAATCATGGTGTCGACTGTTGAATTGCTTCTGTAAGTCATTTAAAAATCAAAATCATCATCCTGGAGTAATTCTGATTAAAAAAAAATCAGATCTATGTAAATTTGTGTTAGAATTCCCACTTCAGGATCAATGTGTGCTTAAAAAACTTTGCCAACATGAAATTTACTTTCTTGGGGGCCTATCACCCAGGCTAGAGTGCAGCTCACCACAACCTCAGATGGCTGGGCTCAAGTGATCCTGCTAGCTCAGCTTCCGAGTGGCTGGGACTACAGGTGTACACAACCACACCTTCCTAATTTCTGTTATTATTATTTTTTGTACAGACAGGGTCTCACTATGTTGCCCAGGGTGGTCTTAAACTCCTAGTCTCAAGTGATTATCCCACCTTGGCTTCCCAAATGCCACTGCACCCAGCGCTTATATTTTTAAATGTTATACTGTTATACTTTATTTTGAAAACATTAAATGGAATTTGAAATTCAAAATTTTCACAAATTTTGATGTGATTAAATAATTTGTGTGATTAAAAATATACCTGAATGTCCATGGGGGCTCACGCCTGTAATCCCAGCACTTTGAAAGGCTGAGGCCTGAAGATCACTTGAGGCCAAGAGTTCAAGACCAGCCTGGGCAACATAGTGAGACCCAGTCTCTACAAAAAATTTTAACAGTTAGCTGGGTGTGGTGGCGTGCACCTGTAGTGTCAGCTACTCAGGAGGCTGAGGCAGTAGGATGGCTTGAGCCTAGATATTCGAGGCTGTAGTGAGTATGATCGCACTACTGTACTCCAGCCTGGGCAGCAGAGTGAGATGAGACCCTGTCTCAAAAAAGAAAATAGACCTGAATGTATTTTGTACCTGAATTTTTCTGGATGTCTACAGAGTTCTAATTTCCATTTTAAAAATTGTATTTGAATATAATATGGTGGTCATAATAGGAGAGTATACTTGTCAGGTTTATCTTCAGTGAAGGGGCTTGAATTGGGAGTTACAAATTGAAACGATTAAGTCTCAGGTCTTTAAACACTGAAGAGTATGCCCAGTCCATCAGCAATGGCCTCCGTGGAGCCACAGAGGCCTCCTGCCAGTCTCTGCCTTTCTCTGCATCCTTCTCACATTGGATTTTTTGTAGTCCAGCAATGGTATGTGCTGCTTCGCTGTTACTTGTCTGGGGATCTCATCCTCCCCTGTGACTTTCACTGCTACTCATACATCTTCCTTCACTTCTACTTGGATGTCCCCTAATTCTGCGGTTCCCAACCCCCGGGGCCAGGGCCTGCTTAGGGACTGGGCCGCAGAGCTCTGTTGCCCCCGTCTCTCAGGTTCCACGGAAAAATTGTCTTCCAGGAAAGTTAGGAATGTTGGGGGTGGCACACAGCAGGACATGAGTGGCGGGTGAGTGAACGAAGCTTCATCAGTATTTACAGCTGCTCCCCATTGCCTGCATCACCGCCTGAGCTCCGCCACCCGCACCCCCACCCCCACTGCCCAGTCCATGGAAAAATTTTCTTCTGTGAAACCAGTCCCTGGTGCCAGAAAGCTTGGAGACTGCTGCCCTAGTTGTGGTCTGTAAGTCCTGACCTGGTTTTATACAGCCCCACTCTCCCGCTGATCCTCACGTGCTTGCTGGTTACCCGAGCGGAAACCTCGGAGTCCAGACCCCTAGCCTTTCTCATCCTGTGCCGGGGTGCCCCGGTGCCCGCCCTCCCTTCCCTGGTCCGGCGCAGCCGCGTCATTCTGGCCGCCAGCTCCCAGCTAGGCTGTTGGCGTCACCCACTGTTAACACCACGTCCCATCTCCCTCCAGTCTCAGCTTGAGCTGAGATTTGAGAGAAAACGATGACGATAATAATACCAGCAAAATTGAAAACTACCATTTCCGCCTTCAACTTTCATTATCTCAGTTTTACAGAGTGAAAAAAGAGAGGTTTAGGATCTTGCTTAAGACCACACAGATTAAAATACGGGTCTTCCTCATTCTGCAGTACACGCATATGGAATTTGGAATAGAATGTGCCAGAACGGCAAAAAGAAAGCCTTGCTCTTGCAAGTGACCTTGCTCAGCTCCACCAGGCCACAGGCAGTTCCTGGGCCCAGCACTGCCCCCCCAGAGATAGCGGCTGGTTTATCTGCTGGTCCCCTTCGCGGCCGGGGCCCCGAGAACTGCTGGCCGAGCTGGGTGGGTGTGTTCACCAGCTGCCTTTGTAACCAGAGATTCAACCCTGGGAAGCTGGGGCCTCTTGTTGATTGCACCCACGTCCCTCACTGTGACCAGCAGGCACCTGTGTGCTGGGCAGCCTTTGAAAGTACTTAAGGATGTAGTGTTTTTATGTTTCTACTTTAGATGTCACTTATATTGTTCCTCATAAGAAATTAACTTGGAGTAAAAATCTGGGAAAAGTCTCTCAAGAAACAAGTGCTATTAGGTAGTAGAACATTTTTAGAGATACAGATGTGTTTTTAACATTTTTAACAATTTCATTTTTCCAAGGAGTCAGGATGGCTGCCGGCCAAAAAATACCACTTTGTTGTTGATTTTGAAGAAAAGAAAGTATCATTGCAGTAAAGGTTTGAGTACAGTGTGGCACGGCGAGCTGTGTTGTCGAGTTTGTGCCCCGTTGGGACACCTGCCTGGACATGTTTTGTGTGTTAATTTAAAAAGTACTTTTTAAATTAGTTTGTTGAAGGGGAGAAGGGTCCCTTGGAATAGCGTTACAGTACCTTCTCTGGTTTCTCCTTTCAGGTTGGCGCTCACTTTCTGGAGGCCGTGGTGAGGAGGTTTGACGGTGCCTACAGAAGGGAAGGGCAAGGGAAGGAGCGTGAGAACCTGTTCACCATCGTTGCCCATCTGTACAACTTCCGCGTGGTGCAGTCGTGCCTCATCTTTGACGTTTTGAAGAAACTTGTTGGAACTTTCACGGAAAAAGATATTGAACTGATCTTGTTAATGCTAAAAAATGTGGGCTTTTCACTGAGGAAAGATGATGCCGTATCGCTTAAGGAGCTCATCGGTGAAACCCAGAGCAAGGCCAGCGGCGCCAGCGGCGAGTTCCAGGACCAGACCAGGGTACGAGCGCCTCCTTGACCTGCTTCCTAAGGGCCTCCCAGCTCACACGCTGGCCAGAACTTTAAAAATAAGTCTTTGGGGTAAATATTACACTACGTTTCTTCCCAGGGAAGCGTGTCTCTGAAGCGGGGAGCACAGGATGGGAACAGCGAGTTAAATGATGGTTTAAAACAAAAGAGACAGAACGTAGATGAGCGGCTGCCCGGGGCCAGGGGAGCTGGAGGAAAGTGGGGAATGGCCATTAATGGGTTTGGAGTTTTTCTTTTGGGGTGATGAGAAAGTTTTAAAATTGATTGTGGCAATTGTTATACAGATCTGAATATGCAAAAACCACCTAATTGTACACTTTAAATGGGTGAATTTTATGTTACGTGAGTAATAGCTCATTAAAAAGCCAGCGTTTGGGAACATCTCAGAGGAGGGTATATGGGAATTCTTTGTACTATTCTTGCAACTTTTCTGTAAGTATGACATTATTTCCAATTTAAAAGTCAAAAAAAAAATTAAAAGGCCAGCGGTGGGGGGAGGCTGAAAAATGTAGGACAGAGGATATCCAAGAGCACAGGTCCCGAGCGTGTTGAGCGTGTTGGGGCTGGGGCGGGAGCGCAGACGGAGGGTGGTGTTGGGGGTTGCTGGAGGAGGGCGGGAGCTGGAGCCACTGAGGGCGAGAGTGTGTCCAGGGTGGAAGCGAGAAGCACGCTCTCTGGGGAGTGGGCAAGGTCCCACTTGAGGTCGGGGGACAAATTTCTGTTTTAAAATACTATATAGCCCTGAAGAGGCTGAAGTGAATATAGACTATCTTTACCTAAAGAACGTTCTGATTTTTTTATTATTAGCAATGATGACCACGCACATCATGTAGTACTTTCCTTGCCAAGCTGAATGATCAGTTGTTCAGACTATTCGAAGTAACAGATTTTATTTTTTTGTTTTTCTTGAAGATTCGGTTTATGCTAGAGACGATGTTGGCACTGAAGAACAATGACATGCGCAAGATTCCGGGCTACGATCCCGAGCCTGTGGAGAAACTGAGGAAATTACAAAGAGCTTTGGTGAGTAACTTCTTTGTTCTGAGCTTCCCTGTTGATGTGAACGCATCACGAAAACCCAGAGTCGGATCTGCAAGTCAGGGGCCACGTCTGGTAAATGAGAGCGCTGGGGACACGGAGTGGAAGCTGCTCCTTCCTCGGGAGCTCTCCCGGTGCTCTGGGTGCCCTGGGCGCCGTCACACAGAATGTGCGCGTGCGGCAGAGCCCGGGTTAGCGCCTCCTGTGCCTCGCCCCGAGGTGCTAAACTTGGGCTGCGCAACAGAATCATCCGATGCTTTCACAGAAGGCCAGGGTCCCCACTGGGTGTGGGGGGCCAACCAGGGGCGCTGGGGCTCACATGCAGCCCGCGCTGAGACCCAGCAGCTCCCCAGTCCGGCTGAGTCTGTCAGCCCGGCCCTCACTGCCCCTGGCAAAGCCGCGGCTGCTCCTAGTCATGTTCTCGCTTCCACTGAGTCGGGGACAGCTCAGTCCCTCTCCCCTTTTGGAACAGCTTTCTGAAGACCACGTATTTAGGGCAGTAGACCTCAAACAAAATACTGTGAATTTATCACGAGTTTGCATTATTCCAAACAGATTAAGCACCCTAACTGCTATTGAGTCATCACAGTATTCGTGCAACAGAAATGCCGTTTTCAAAGCAGTGAAAAAGCTGAGTGTGATGGAGGTATGGAATATGAGCCCATTAAAAGCATGTCTTTTAAAAACCTTCTCTTTTAATCAGGTACGCAACTCCGGCTTAGGTTCTGAGACTCAGCTTCGAGTTTCCTGGGACAACATCTTGAATGCTGAACAGACGGGTCGCTGGTGGATCGTGGGGTCCGCCTGGAGTGGGGCCCCAATGATCGACAATAGTCATCATTTGCACCCGCAGAAGCAGCTTTCAGGGACGGTATGAGACCCCCATGCTCAAAGCTGCCAGAGCAGGTGCCCACCCACTGTCTGGTCATGGCTTACCTAGAGCAGCTCCTTTATTCATGAGTGGTTGTCGAAGTGTACTGTGTAGGTTTATTTGAAGGCCTTATAGAAATCGCTATTGTGTTACGATATAATTCAATTCAGTTTCTGTTATTTGTTTTTATAGGATTTTTGTGAGTCCCAAAACACATTGCACAAAAGATCTAAAGATTGAACAGAATGAGGGGATGTAGGGGAATCAGAACCTTCATCTGTCAGGTAGATGCCTCTTCTCGAGGCTTGACACAGGCTGTCTCCCAGAGATGTGGGTTCCAGCCCATTGGCCACGGGTTTCAAATCATGAACATTCTTGGCACTTCTTTGTAATTGTTACTGACTGCCGTTCATACTTTATCCAGATTTCCGTCCTTTCTGTTGAATGTCCTTCCTTGTTCCAGGACCCCACGTCACTCTTGGTGTTCACAGCCATCCAGGCTCTGGCAGCGACCACCTACCTGTATTTATTTCATGGCTGCTTGCACTGAGGTCACCCCACTGCTGAGAAGCCTCCCAAATGGAATGGTGTCCTCCCCCAGTGGCTGGCTTGGTCTCTTACTATGTTTTTCCCCTGCAGGGGGTTGGCCAGGAGTAAAGATCTAGCACTTACATACGTATATTCACGTACAATTTACAGTTATATTCAGGTTAAACCGATAGTATTTCTCAGGAAACAACTCTCTGAAACATTTGTGTGACCTGTGCATGCATCGTTCTTTCAGGTTGGCTCAGAGATCCTGGAACTCGCCCGCAAGCAGCGGATGAACACCGACATCAGGAGAAACGTGTTCTGTACAATAATGACGAGCGAAGATTTTCTGGATGCTTTTGAGAAGCTTCTAAAGTAAGCATTTTGACCTGTTTATTAGATATTGTAAGAGAAAGTTTGAGTTTGAGTTTGGGAGATCGGGTCTGAGCTGTGGGCTTCTCTCCTTGCTCTCCTCTCACCCCGTTGGGGTCCGTGTGCTCTGGATTGTCATTTCGTTCCTCCTGATTTGCCACTGGCAGTTCCTCATTGGGGCATTTTGTGGAGTATGAAGAGGGAGGATTTTGACTGAAAGTGTCAGAAAAGCAGCTGGTAATTCTCCGTGGCTGTTGGTTTTCATGAATTGCTTAAAAATACATAAATCTTCATAATAAAGTTATCCTTCTGATTCTTAATTTAAAGCTTTTGGTATAATTTCTGTAATTAGTTGTAACATTTTTAAAGTACCTGTGTGTTTCTATAAAGTACTTCTAGACAATTTAACGTTAATTCATTTTCCTTCATTTGCTTCAAACTCAGGATGAAATATAGGGAAAACACGGCTCGTTTTAGGATTCTGATGATTTTCTAAACTGGGTGCCTTGTTGAAGTGGAAACCCCAAGCTTTCTTTTCCTGTCTGTAGCCTTGTTGTCTGTCTAGTACGTCCGTATGTCCCGGCTGTACTTAGTTTCTGAAAGGACCTCATTCGAGAAACACTCACATCATCCACTCAGAGGGTCTAGCTTCTCCTTGTGCTGTGAAGGACTTCCTGTATTTTTCCTCCGGCTGACTTCATGTTTTAAAAAAATTTAGTCTGTCAACCTATGTTTATAAAACAATAATTTTTTCCCATCGTTATTCATCAGAATCATTAGCTGCTATTCTGAACTTTTTTCAATCAACATGAATTGACATAAATACAGTGCAGCCAAGAATAAATGGGGCGTTTTCATTGCCCATATACCCTTAGCTTGAGAATGTGTCATTTCTGTTGAGTTTGGGGTGAATTTTGTTTGTTTATTTGTTGGGGTTTTTTGCAATAGAGCTGATGTTTCTGTCCTCAGATTGTCCGCCTTTGTATAGAGGCAGCAGCTTCAACCACTGGCAACAACCCACATGCCCTTCAGCTGGGTAAAGGGTCCGTGCAGTGGAATACTTACCCACTCGGCCTTGCAAAGGGACATGCCACCAAGACCCACATGCATAGATGAATCTCTGTGTGTTCTGCCCAGTGCAGGAAGCCAGACTCGCATGGCTGCCTGCTTGGACTCCATCTGTATACATCTGGCAGAGGCAAAGCTGGAGGGACAGGAAACAGATGGGCAGTGGCCTGCAGGTTGAGGGAAGGGTTGCTCAGGGGTCTGGGGGCGATGGGACTTCCTGTTTTGGTTCTAGTCCACACTCCTGGGACTGTACGCTAAAAAGGATGGATTTTGCCGTGTATACATTACACCTTTAAGTTTTAAAAATGAAAAAATCATTGCCGTCATGAGAACCTGGCTTTAAAGGCACACACGGCTGAGTCTGGCACGATCACAGGCCTTTGTAGCTGGCAGAGAACACACAGAGGTTGTTGTCTCCTCCTGTCCTTTGCCACCTTGTTGGAAACTGGGGCCAGGCAGGGCCTGTGGCTGGTGTCTGCATTGGCTCGCCGTGACCAGACTTCCAGACGGGGGTGTGTTCCTCTGAAGGAGTTCAGCTGTTACAACGGGTTGTTGAGTGACGTCCTAGTCGTTGCTATTTCTGTTTTACAGGCTTGGACTAAAGGATCAGCAGGAGCGAGAAATAGTTCATGTTCTCATGGATTGCTGCCTTCAAGAGAAAACTTACAATCCCTTCTATGCATTCTTGGCCAGCAAGTTTTGTGACTATGAAAGGAGATTTCAGGTAACTTAGAAGGCCACCAGTTACGTGTGCTCTACTGTTTTTGTTTTTTTATTTCAAAATATTAAGGGAGCACAAATGTTTTTGTTACATGGATACATTTTACAATGCTTATGTCAGCTTTGAGTGTGCCCATCACCCAGTAGTGTTCATTGTACCCGATAGGTAAGTTTTTACCTGCCCTGCTCCATTTTTCTAAACATTCTGGCTCTCAACCCACCTAAAAATGAGTTCCCTGAGTCAGCAGGCCCCGGAGGTCCCAGTCACATGGCCCACACTGGCTGCCAGGCTCATCTTCACTGCGGAAGGAGGGTGGGACAGCCAGAGGGGAGTGACAAGGGTCCACAGTGTCCTTGTTCACCTTTTCCTGCCACCATGGCAGGGAGTGTGGCCAGGCTCACTGGAGCCCCTCTTCAGTTTGTAGCACACCTGTGTCCTCCTAGTGTCACTAATCGACCACCTTTCTTAAAAGCCTTATGTTGGTATTTGCTGATTTGATGGGGGAAAAACTCAACAGAAAGGGACTGTTGTGAAGCTATTTCAAACTACTCTCTTTAGGAAAAAACAGTGTAGTTGCCCCTAAAAATTTCGATTTTTAGAATATTAAAAATGAATAAGAAATAGAATGCCTTTAGGTTATATTCTTAGGATTATATAAATATTTAATAATGTTACAATTTAACTTTTCCCTTCTTTTTAACTATATATTAGATGACTTTCCAGTTCAGCATATGGGACAAATTTCGGGACTTAGAAAATTTGCCAGCTACTAATTTCTCTAACTTGGTTGATCTGGTGGCCCACCTATTGAAGACAAAATCACTTTCACTTTCCATCTTAAAGGTTTGTACAACGCATAAAATTATTTAAAGCAGTGAAAATGATGTGTGATTGCTTGTATCTGGTACTTTTTAACATTAGATTCGGATTTACCTGAAACGTGTTTTCATTATCGTCGCCATCACAGAAAATGGCCAAATTTTAACCTGTAGTATAAATCTACTAAATCGTAGTATAGTATAAGCAGCAAATTAAGACCCAGTTAGTTGTTTGCTAATCTGAGGGGATCTGTTTTGGGGTTTGAGGTTAATGTCCTGGTCCTGTTATGAGATCCTGAACTGGTCACCAGTCAGCTGGGAGAAGGATGGAGGGAGGGAGGAGACTGGTCTCTGGAGAGGCCAGGTGTGTTCGCTCGCTTGGGAATAAGAGCCGTCGGCTCCCCCTCCCCTGCCATGTTTTGGGCCTTCGTAGCCAATGAAGCGCAGCTGTTCCCCCAGAATGGACAGCGAAACCTAGACGGAGGGGAAGGGATCCGAGATGGGCCAGTAAGTCTTGGACGGTAGGATGAACGGGATCTGAATATCCTTAAAAAATCTTAAACTTTGGACAGCCTGAGGGTCAACAGGAAGTGCAGAGCAGAGACGGTCAGGGCTGTTGACTGTGCCCTGCTGTGGCGGCCCCGATGTGCAAGATGGCCTGTAGCTGCCGTTTCCCGCTCGTGTTTCTGCGTCCTTTCGTGCCATTCATCAGCACACCTGCACTCACCACGAAGCCCTGGCGTGTGGTGGCAGGGTCTGTCCGCTGTGCCGGAAACCAGGGCACTGGGTCTTATCCAGACCAGGATAACTTGGAACATGAAAGATACCTTGTTGCTTTCTCTTGGACCAAATCTTGCCTTTCGGTCACTCAGGCATTGAGCTCAGTGTGGACTAGGGCGTGGTGCTGCCTGGGAGAGCAGGAAAGGCGCTGTGAGGTCATGTTCAGGTGTAGAACTTGGAGATGTCCTCAGAGCTGCTCCTGGGCCCCCACCTTCCCAGAGGGGCTGCTCTTTAATTTGGCATCTCTCCTGGTTCTGTGCTTGTGCTTCTGCAAATAGTACATAATATTTTTCTTTTTTTTTTTTTTTTTGAGACAGAGTCTTACTCTGTCACTCGGGCTAGAGTACAGTGGCATCCTCACAGCTCACTGCAGCCTCAAATTCCTGGGCTCAAGTGATCTTCTCACCTTAGCCTCCTAAGTAGCTGGGACTCCAGGTGTGCGCCATAATGCCCAGCTAATTTTTTTTTCTTGCTTGAGATGGGGTCTAGCCATGTTACCCAGGCTGGTCTCCAGCTCCTTGGCTCAAGTGATCCTCCTGTCTCAACCTCTCAAGATGCTGGGATTACAGGTGTGAACCACCGTGCCCAACCAATACATAATATTGTTTACACGTTACCCTCCCTGTGGACAGTACTGTGTTGTCAATAGGCTCTTAGCGTCCTCCTCCAGGTCATTTTTAAATTCAGTTTCAGTTTGTAGTTTATCCATGTTGATACCTATAACTCTATTGTATATAGTATTCTACCTTATACTACAATTTGTATATTCATTCATAAATGTTTAGATTGTTTTCTGATTTTTTGATAGGTTTCTAGGAGATATATATGAATTAGTCTCTTCTAGATCTAAATTTTATATATACATAGTTGTAATCAGAGGATGATTACTTTAGGGAATAGAGAAAATACATGTTTCAATTCCGGAAATAGAATTCCTGATTCATAAAGTGTACACCCTGTGAGCTTCACTCACCGCTCAACAGCGGTGTGCGCCCCTCCGGCAGTGTGCGAGGACTCCGCCTCCACCTCCCTGCCGACAGCTGCTCAGTTCTCAAAGCTGGAAACAGCCTCTTAAGTCAGGGGTGGGTTAGGGGGTGGAGAGGGGTTGACATTTACTCTAATTAACTATATTTGCAAGTTACTAAAAAAGTTGTCTAAATTGTGTAACTTTATATTTTTCTGCATACTATTAGGTAGTTGAATTCAGTGAACTGGATAAACCCAGAGTCCACTTTTTACGAAAAGTATTAAATATATTATTAATGGAAACAGAAGTTGAAGACCTTGGTTTAATTTTTGCAAGGTATGTTCACAGTTTGTACTCATAAGACAAAAGAGAGAGGAGGACATAGTTTTCACTTGTGTTGGTTTGTAAAAAGCAAGTTTGTTGCACTATGTGTGTAGCTTAATAAATCATTTCAGTTTTTTTTTTAAGCTAATACCTTATGTATTAGATTTGAGGAATACAAACTTAATAGCAAACTAATAATGATTTATAACAAATAAAATATGTTAAGGAGTTCTTAATTTAGAATTCGATTTTCAAAAGAAACAAGGTTATATCTCACCATTCAAGATACCCAGAATTGAGATGTAGGAGAGGCTGGCTCACCCCTGACGCATGTTTGTACGATTCCTTTGCAGAGTGTCTGACAACCCAAAGCTGGGGATGCTACGAGAAGGTTTGAAGCTTTTCATTAGCCACTTCTTGCTAAAGAACGCACAGGCCCACAAAAGTGCTGCTGAAGCCAACATGCTGAGAGAGAGAGCCGACCTTGTGACAAAGTCTCTGCAAGGAAAAGCGTCCCTGAGAATGTAGGCAGGGACAGGAGTGGAGGGTGGTCCTTTGATGGTAAAATGTCCTTACAAACCCAAAGGCCTGCTCTGTTGTCTGTGTGTAAGAGCTTGGGGGAGCTGTACCCCTGTTGTTTTAAAATATTATATTTTGTGATAATTTTTTGATCCAAGGTCATATTGTTTGGGTTTTTAACCATTTTCAAATAACTATATACATTGGGGGTGGGGAAAAGAAGGAGGGAGGGAGGGAAGGGGGCAGACACTGGACAGAGTGTGCGTGATGTCTTAATTATTTTAATAGATGAAATCAGCCACTAGAGGGGGCAGTTATCAAAAAGAAATTGATGGATTTTTATCTTCTTTTACATTGGTTAAAAGTTCAAAAACCGTCAGTTAAATGTGATGCTTGATATTTAATTAATTATTTTAAATATTTGGAAAAGTCAGTTGACCTAAGCCCTGCGAGTATCATCTTATGTATGTTACAGTGCACATTGATGTTTTTCTTTAAAATATACATGTATGTATATAGCTGGGCATCACCATGCCCAGCTAATTTTTCTGTTTTTTGTAGAGACGAGGTCTGGCTTTGTTGCCCAGGCTGGTCTTGAACTTCTGGCCTCAAGCAGTCCTCCCACCTTGGCCTCCCAAAGCGCTAGGATTACAGGCATGAGCCATGGAGCCTGGCCTGGATAGGTGTTTTTCACCATTATCCATCTAACATTTTGACACAGTGGAGGATATTCTTTACTATTTTTATATATTTCTTCTGCCTATCAATTCCAAATTACAAGCATACTTTCTTAAACCACTCTGAAGTCACCAAATAGATTTTAGACACTCAATGGTGCTGCTTGCTGGCTAGGTTCTTAGAGGTATAAACAGTAGAAAACATAATTATTACCTGCAAGGAATTAACATTAATCTAGTGAAAGAGACAAATACACCCTACTTACTAAGTACAGAAAACTGATCTACAAGGACGTAGAACCCTCCTTGGATACCCAGCATCTGCCACAGATACCCAAATGTTTATTGTTTTTCCAGCCCTTAAAATGTGCTTCTTTCTCTCTCAACTGCTGCAGACTTGATTTAAATTTCACCTTCAGTTGTTGAAAAAAGTCATTAAGCTGCGAGTCCAGTTGCGAAACCCTCATGGTTCCCTTGGGCAGATGGGCACAGCTCTGGCAATGTCATTCCTGTGCAGACACCCCCCTAAAAGACACCCTTTGACCTCGTGTCTTAATGTGGCCCTGCAGGGCTATGTGTGCAGACACCGCGTGTGAAGTCATCAGCGTCTCCATGCATATCCCTAAACTAATGCAACATGAAAAACTGTTAGGGCTAAGAGTAACTGCAGAAACAACACAGAGACTGGGCTTTCACATGCTTGTTAGCCCTCCATTCAGAAACCTCATTTGACCTAAGGTCAAATTAAAACCGGATGTCTTCTGGCAGATTTTGAATTTCCATGACAAAGACAGTAGGTATTAAGAGTAAAGTGAAAGCCTTCACTTTGTTAAGGGGCTTTTTAACAGCAGTGTCTTTGCTGGGTGGTGATTGGGGTATAACATTGGTTCTACTGGAAGTGTCGGCCACAGTGAGATAAAGAGCTGGAGCTAGAATGTGAGTCACCCCACTGCTTCCTTCCTTGGGAAAGTCTTGCTGTGAAGAAAAGAGTATCAGCTGAACTTATCAGTGTGCTTAATGACATAGTCGATTTACATTCTGATGCAAGCTTCTGGTCTATGGATCACATTTGAGTAGCACCAATGTAACCCATGTGAATAAGAATTAATTATCGGTGCAGCTGCTGAGATTAGGAAAAAATACCACTGCAGTGGTACCATCTAACTTCATTATGTAACAGGTGCAGTAAACCCTGTTTAGGGCATAGATGAGTTCAAGCCGATTTTTCTGCAGAAGATAAATTTCTATAAACAATTTCATTTTTATATTGTCTTTTGTTATTAAAACAAAAATGTCTCTTTTTTTGCCATAGAATATACTTGTGACTTGATTTATTACCTGAGCTTTGTGTTTATTATTCAGCAGGTCATCCATAAATCTTTGCACATTTTAAAAACAAAATGTGGATTATCGTATGTTACTAGTCATATTTTAGTGTAAATAGTAAGTAAATACATCTTGACCAAAAGCTTCTATGAATTCATATAGGTTTTTAAAATTTACCTATGTTTGAAAAATACTGCAAGATGCTTAGATAGTCAATGCTTGCTGTTATATATGAATTGTGGACTTTTTGCAATGCAGGTTGAGAACTCCTGGTGCATAGAATTACTAAAAAGCTGTCTTCTAGGGGATTTCATCTTTAAAAAATACAGGTATAAGGATCAAACTTTTCAATATATTAAAATGTGTAAATAAATTTATTTTTTACATTTTGCTTAGAGTGCTGGTGAGTGTTTATTTTGAAAGAAGAGCTTTGCTGATGCCCTAAGGTGGCCCATACCTTTTCTTTCCATGTGTAAGAAGCCTGCTTAGCCATGTGATTTAAGGGGTAAAGGGATTCATTCTCTCCACCCCGCCCCTCAGAGCGATAGAAAGCAAATGAGGCAAAATGTTAACTGTTGGAGACTTTGGGTGAAGTTTATACAGGAGAATTATCCTGTTGTAACTTTTTTGTAAGTTTATAATTATTTCAAAGTAGTTTTTTTTAAGCATTCATAATTCAGAACTCATTCTTCAAAGATCTAAAATATTCTGTTCTTTCACAAAAATAATTAGACTAATTCAAATCACCTTTACCTCTTTTGTTAAAAACAACATTTAGGCCTTACTGTAAAACTGTAAGATTTACCTTAACTTTAAGATAAGTTTGGTTTCCTTCAGCTTAGTCAGCTGACAGCCGCAGCTCCCCCCACTCTACCTGTGTTGCCAGGTGACAGGAAAAGCCGGAGAGAGGAAGGTCCTGTCAGTAGCCGTGCTCAGGAGCTTCTGTATCAAGAACTGCACTAACGGGCTTGGTGTCAGTGTGCATCCGAATTACCTGAGCACTTTCGAGGTACGTAGGCTGCCAACCACCCTACATCCAGTGAGGGTGAACCAGAGTTTGTATGTGTGAGCTGGAAGATTCCAGCACCCTTCCCGCCTTTGCCCGGTGTCCTAGGAGGCAGGTCAGATTCATTCGTTCTCTCGGTAAGTCTAGATTTTTTGTTTCTGAAACACTTGGGAATCACATTGTCAAATCCCTTCGCACTAAATGCTGTGCTTACCTCCTGAGGACGTGAACATTTACTTCTGTACCCCCAGTATAACTTACCACAGTTAGGCAATTAACATTGACAGAATACTAACAGAATGTCTCTTAATTTGGGTTTTCTGCTATTTCCCTGATAATTTAGGTTATACCTTTTTGTTATGTTCTCAGTGCATCTTCAGGAGGCACATGATGGCTGTTGGTCCTTTCTCGTAAGTTAATACTTTGGTTGCTGGTTAAGGTCTGCTAGGGTTTTCCACTCCATGATTAATGTTTTTCCCTTTGTAATTAGTAACTAGTGTGTAGGGAGCATATTAATCTATCGGTGATATCAAGTCACCCCACAATTGTTTAGGACAACAATAATTTATTCAGTTTCTGTGCTGATATTCAGTTCTGGATCAGGGTTGTCATGAGGCTGCAGTCATGTCAGCCAGGCCCACTGTTGTCTGAAGCTTGGTTGGGGCTGGAGAAGCCACTTCCAAGGTGGCCTCCCTCGCATGGCTGGGCAAGGCAACCGCTCGCCATGGTGGGTCCAGAGTGGGCTCGGTGGGGCTGGTCGAGCATCCTCACAACATGGCTGCCAGCTGCCTCCAAAACAGGGATCCTCACTCAACACCTTTTACGACATAGCGTGGGGAGTCGCACACTGTGCCTCCACGGTACTCTTGGCACAGAGGTTGGCCGTATTCCGTGTGGGAGGGGACTACACAAGGGCAGGAACACAGGAGGGGAGGATTGTCTCAGCCATCCTAGAAGCTGGCTTCCAGAGGGCTCGTGTTGAGATTTGACTACATACCCTGTTCCTCACCAGACTTTGACCTCTCCCCCAGTTTTAGTATCCCCTGATGATTCTTGCTTGAATTAATTACTGTAGTGGTGGGGAAGTAGTGATTTCTAACTCCACCATTCCTTCTCTGTTTATTCGTTAGCATTCAAAAATAAAAAGAAGCATTTCCCTTCCCATTTATCATCACCGTGGACTCATGGATTCTTGTTTTGTTCATTGGATTATAGTCTAGTACTAAGATTTTTTAAGTCACGTTATTGAGGTGTGATTGACAAATAAACAGCTGCGCATACTTCATGTGCACAACTTAAGGATAAGTATACACTTGTGAAACCATCAACACCAAGGCCATAAACTTACCTACCACCTCCCAAAGTTTCCTACCACTCCCTTTAGTAGTACTATTATTGCTGCTGTTATTTGTGTGGGGGGTGTGTGGTAAGAATATTTAACATAAGATCTAACCTCTTAGCAAATTTTAAGTACACGATACAGCATTGTTAGCTGTAGGCCCCATGCTGCATATTAGATCACCAGAGTTATTCATCCTGCATAACTGAAACTTTGTATCCCTTGACCAACATCTCCCCACTAGCCCTTGTAACCACCATCCTACTCTCTGCTTCTTGAGTTTGACTGTTGTAGATCCCGTTTAAGTGAGATCGTGTGGGATTTGTCTTCTCATGCCCTGGGATCTCACTTAACATCATGTCTTCCAGGCTCATCCACGTCGTTGCAAAGGACAAGATTTCCTTCTTTTAAAGGCTGAATAGTCTTCCATTGTGTGTGTGTGCATATACACATCACATTTTCTTTATCCATTCACCTATCAGTGGATACTTAAGTTGTTTCCATGTCTTGGCTATTGCGAATAATGCAGTGAATTTGGGAATGCAGATATCTCTTCACGGTGCTAATTTCAATTCCTTTGGATATTTACCCAGTAGTGGGATTGCTGGATCATGTGACATTTCTATTTTTAGGTTTTTTTTTTTTTTGAGACAGAGTCTCACGCTATTGCCCAGGCTAGGGTGCCGTGGCGTCAGCCTAGCTCACAGCAACCTCAAACTCCTGGGCTCAAGCGATCCTCCTGCCTCAGCCTCCCGAGTAGCTGGGACTACAGGCATGCGCCACCATGCCCAGCTAATTTTTTTTTCTGTATATTGTTAGTTGTCCAGCTAATTTCTTTCTATTTTTAGTAGAGATGGGGTCTCACTCTTGCTCAGGCTGGTCTCGAACTCCTGAGCTCAAACAATCCGCCTGCCTCGGCCTCCCA